GATCAGTTACAAATCAAAGGAAAATAAATTTTCTTAAAGTAAAACAAAATATGCCATGGAAGTTTATGGAAAGGAGTAGAAATACAAGGGTAAGTGTACATAGCTATGAGGCGTTGAAGGTAGACAGAACCTTTACAATTATGTCTCATGAACCTTTTGCTTTTGTGGGTGAGGTCACTCAGACCTACACTGGCACAGCAAAGTGCTCAGTGTTTAGTAGTGAGAAATGACAATATAGGGACTAGCAACCACTATCCCTTGCTCCAACCTACATATTTTAGTATAAGAATCCATGAATCTGGAAGGAATCCCAGTGAATGTGGAAATCCTATGACAAGCCCACAAGCAGAAGTCCTTCCTATGAGGACTCAGACAAGCTCAAGAGGAGAATGCAAGAAAAAGGATCAACTCGATACGAGCATTGTTAGGAAGAACTGAGGGAACAAGAGGCAAGGAAACAGGCCAAAGTTAAAAAACACACAATTCATTGAACAATAAAGAAAAGAGCAAATTAGGGAAGCCAATAATGAAAGATAATAATCAAAAATGAAAATAAGCTAAAAGAATTCAACATGGTAAGGAACGACAGTATTTTGTGCCCATTTTATCCAAAGTATGTCTATCTAGAATTATTCCTATAAAAAAACCTGTTGTAAATAAATACAAAAACTCACTTAGAGGGATAATCTGATGGGCACCAGTGGCTCACATCTATAATCCTAGCTACTCTGAGGCCTGAGATCTGAAGATCATGGTTTGAATCCAGCCACGGAAGAAAAGTCCCTATGACACTCTTATCTCCAATTAACCACTCAAAAACCAGAAGTGGGTCTATGGCTCAAGGCACTAGCCTTGAGCACAAAGAGGCAAAGGGACAGCACCCAAGCCCTAAGTTCAAGCTCCACAACCAACAACAACAACAAAGAGGGATAAACATTAAGTGGTAGCAGTATTAAGTTTCTATTCTAAAATGTTAAATGAATAAGGAATAGAAATTCAAAGACTTAATTTCTATCAAGAATGATGTCTACATAAAATCAAAGAAACATTGGAAAACCTAAGGGTAGCCGGGTGCTGGTGGCTCAGACCTGTAATCCTAGCTACTCACAAGGATGAGAGATGAGGATCATGGTTCGAAGCCAACCCAGGCAGGAAAGTCCATGAGACTCTTACCTCCAATTAACTACCAGAAAACTGTAAGTGGTACTGTGGCTCAAAGTGGTAGAGCACCAGCCTTGAGCAGAAAAGCTCAGGGACAGCACCCAGATTCTGAGTTCAAGTCCCATGATGGACAAAAACAAAAACAAACTGAAGAAACACCTAAGGGCATTCATACCTTCAGATGACTTTTGGCTTTCTGTAGATGTGGCCAATGAATGAGAGAATTCAGGAGATGAGGAATCCCAGGCATTGGGAATAAATAGCACTGCCTTCATTCAGAGGAGGTCCATATAATATCCAGAATTGATTTAATTTAGTTTTTTGCCTTTTACACTTCCTTAAGAACCTAAACTTACATTTTTAAAATTATAGCATGGAATAACATCTAAAATATTAACTTGCATGGTTAATTTGATGAGCCAAAGACCCCTTTTTGTTGCTTCTTGGAATAAGAAACACTCAGTTAAAAACCTATACTTAACAGAGAATACAAGTAATATAACAAAATGAGGCAAATGTTATAGAAAAGTGAATTTAAAGTATATCAAACCAGATGTGATGGTGGACATGTGAAATTCAGCCCTAAGGAGGTACACCCCAGAGAATTTTTGAGTTTGAGGCCATCCTGGGCTCACGCCTGTAATCCTAGCTACTCAGGAGGCTGAGATCTGAGGATTGCGGTTCATAGCCAGTCTGGGCAGGAAAGTCTCTTATCTCCAATAAACCACCAGAAAACTGGAAGTGGCTCTGTGGCTCAAGTGGTAGAGCACTAGTCTTGAGCTGAAGAGCTGAAGGACAGCGCCTCAGCCCAGAGTTCAAGCCCGTGACTGACAAAAACAAAAACAAAAAAAGAAGAAAGAAAAATCAGTAGGAGGCATAGCACAGGTGGTCGAGCACCAGCCAATGAGTGAAAGCATGTGCCAGTGAGTTCTAGTAGAAGTCTCAAACAAGAAAGAGAAAGCAAGAGGGGAAGGAGAGAGACAGAGAAGAAGGAAGGAAGGAAGGAAGGAAGGAAGGAAGGAAGGAAGGAAGGAAGGAAGGAAGGAAGGAAGGAAGGAAGGAAGGAAGGAAGGAAGGAAGGAAGGAAGGAAGGGAAAAAAAGGAAAATGTGGCTAGTGGGTGTACATGCACATAGTGTATTCATGTATATGTGTGCATACATATATGTGTGTAGGTGTGCATATACACATATGTATATGTGTATAAAATGCTAAAATGCATATATACACATAGTGCATGTGTGTTTTATGTGTAGATACACACATATGTATATATGTATACATATGTATACAAATCAGTATATGGTCTTCCCTTCATTTTCATGGGGTTTCCATCCTCTAACAGCAGATAGAAAATACTGTGAAAATTAGGTCTGTATTGAGTATGCACAGACTATGGCCATTCATCATTTCCTAAACAATATACCATAAACTATACCAAAGTTACATTGTATGAGGCATTATAAATAATCTAAGACATGAATGATCTAGAGATGAGGTTAGCATAAGGGAGGATATACTCATACTCTATGTAACTACTCCACCATCTTAATGCAAGGTATTTGAACATGTGAGGATTTGGTATCTCTGGGGTGGCATTTGCAGCAATCTCATGGAATATTGAATGCACACATTAAGATCATAAGATGTCAAATCAGGTGAACATGGATTTAGTCCCCAATTTAACTACTTCTTAGTTGTTTAAAACTCTCTCATTCCTTTTTACTATTTATCTTCTTCTCACCATCATTCTTCTTCTTTCTTTTATCCAAAAATGTTTCCTGAGCATGTATTTACTATATGCTAGTTTCATGGAATGTTTTTACGGGGAAGAAATTTGTGGTACACCACATGAATGTAGAGGCTGATGCAAAAATGAGGTAAACTTGAACCATTGTCAGTAAATTATCAATAATCAGAAACAAAGATGGAAAGGGTGGGTAGAATCAGGCTGTAGAGGCTCCTGAGAAGCAGTATCAAATTAAGATGTAGAGAACCAGAAAGGAAATCAAGTGGCCAAATGGTGAGGAGGTAGTCTAGTACTAGAAGGCCAAAAGAAGGGATAATTTCAAGTGGGAGAGAGAGAGAGAGAGAGAGAGAGAGAGAGAGAGAGAGAGAGAGAAAGAGAGAAAGAGAGAGAGAGATTACTAAGTATTTCAAAGTGATCAAGGAAGAGATTGATATAAAGGCATTAATTATTTAAAAAATAAATTTGCTTGAGAAATGAGGGTAGAGTCCAAAGGTGGGGATGGAAAGAAGGGAATTGGGTGCAAAACTGGACTGAGGAGGGCCAAGTGTCTCGTAGGAAGTGTCAAATGGAAAGAAACAAATGATATGCTAAGGGTAGAGGAAGCTCCAAGGCCAAGATCAGATACGTTTTTTTCTTCCTAAGATGAACAGTTCCTACATATGTGAAGTCAATAAATAAATGAATGGAGACTGAAGACTTCAGGGGGAGGGAATACAGAGGAGAGGGAAATGAAGCAAAGCCAGAGAAACACTGCTTCCCCTGAGACAGAAGGGCAGAACTCCACACTGAGATTTTTTTGGTACCACACTAAGATGATCTGTGTACTGCAGGTAGGCACTTATTAGAGTAGAGTGGCCACATCAGGGTACAAAAAAGACCGAGTGTCTGAAGTTGCAGAAAAACAAACATAAAAGACTTGAGTCCATCAATAGCTTCAAAGAGCATCAAACTGTTCTGATTCACCACCTGGAAACCTTTCTGCTTCTTCTGTTGTGTTGTGGGGAAGAGTTGTGGACAACAGAGCCAAATGTTGAAAGTGAAGTCCCTTCATATTATCCTCTCACTTCAGAGACAATGGTACCGAGTTGTAGAAACTACAGGTCCAGCCCAAGCACTGTTATTGGTGTTATACCTGAGCCAGATAAAGAGAAAGTTGGAGGTTAGAAGGAGTGGGTGTTTATGTCGAGTTAAATACATCCTACAAGTTAGTCATTGTAGAAGAAGGGTCATTCTCTTCTGTGCAAATATGTCTTCCTCTACCTTCAAAACAACCAATTATAGAGCCCTTACCTCAAAAGTGTTCCAAACTTGTGTATACTTTTCCTCCCTTCCCTGCCTCAGAGCTGAAAGGGGCAGGGAAGACAGCTGTGAGGATTTCAGCTCTGGTCCTATCTCTTATTTGAGTTCATCCTTGGGAAAAAGGAAGCCAGAGGGTTGGCCTGGGGCAAAGTGGTGCCTTCCTCCACGACCAAGGGTCCAGGGCTTGCACCCCAGGAGTGACAAGTGTATTCAGGGATCCCCCAAAACCAGCCTGTGTGGTCCCCAATACTCAGACTACAGAATCCTGCTGATGAAGAAGACCTTAGTGCGTATTTGAAAAGCAGACTAAGTGCGCTTGGCGGGAGCGGGCAGAGTGCTGACCTGGCATCTTTGCTTTGGAGTCTTCACATTCTTTTGCATTTGCCTATCTGTGCCAGCGGCTGAAACTGGGGCTGCAGGCAGAAGGCGGGGTGCCTGTCCACAGCAAAGACCCCCCTGAGTCCAAGACTGAAATAAAAGGAGGTGTGTGGGGGGCGGGGGGGGGGGGAACCCCTGGCACCAGCCAGGGATAGCCTGATCTCTGCTCCAGTCCACAAATCCTTAACGGATTTTCTTTCTCTCCCTTCACCCTTTTCTCTCCTTTGCTCTCTTTCTTTCTCTCTCCCTCTTTTTTCCCCTTTTCCCCTCTCTTTTCCCCTCCCTCCCTGCCCCCTTTCCCCTCCTCTCCCATCCCCCCTTCCCCTCCCCCTTTCCATGTGTGTGAGCCTCTTCCTCTCCCCTCCTCCCCCTTTCCGCCTCTCTCTCCCTCTCTCTCCATCTCCTTCTCTCAGCTCGCCGGGCGACCCTGCTCCTGCCTCCCACATTAATGGCGGCATCTTCGGAGGATGACATAGACCGGAGGCCCATCCGCAGAGTCCGCTCCAAGAGTGACACCCCGTACCTGGCGGAGGCCAGGATCTCCTTTAACCTGGGGGCAGGTAAGGACGCCTCTCTCGCCTGGATGCCAGTCCATGCCACCCGGCTTCCTTCCTTCCCTTCCTCCCAACCAGCTGCCCCCCCACGTCCCTCCCTGCGCCCCCCCTCCCCACCCAGCCCTGCGCCCTGCGCCCTGCGCTGCGCTCTGGCTGGCTCTCTTTGTGTCACCTCGTGCAAGGAGGGGGTGTGTATGTGTGTGTGTGTGTGTGTGTGTGTGTGTGTGTTGCAGAGGTGGGGGAGGGCGGCGCATGGAAGCCTGCGTCCACCCAAGAGTGACACACGGGTCCCCCCCCCCCTACACACACACCCCTTCGCTGGAAGAAAAGAAAGTGTGGTCAGGGCTAACAATGATCTTAGGAATCACCGCAGCCCCGTGCGCCCCTGGGGATGCTGGCTGTGGGCGGAGGGTCTGGCCAGGCTCCAAGCAGATGCTCGGGGCAGAGCCACTACAGGGTGGAACTTGTTGGTGACATTCAGACTCCTGGTGGTTTTGATGGTGGAGGCCGCCGCCGCTTTGGAGAGGGGGCGGGGCCGGTTGCAGGGAGCAGAACCTTATTCCGGGTGGAGCAGTTGCAAGGCAGTCGGGTGGCTGGAAAAGCAAAAAGGGAAAGAAAAGCATGAGAAGGAGAGGGGTGCTGTCCCTGGAATCAGTGCTTGAAGTGGCCCAGATAGAATTAAGTGAAAAGGGTAACTGAGTAGAGAAGGAGAGGAAAAAAGAGAGCGCATTGGAGAAGGAATATGAGGAAGGAAAGGGAAAGAAGAGAGGAAGGAATGAAGGGAGGAAGAAAAGGATGGAGGGTGGAAAAGCAGGTGAAATGGAAAGGAAAGATAGAGAAAGGATGAGGAAAGGAAGATAGGAAAGGAGGAGGAAAAAGAGAGGATGAGAGAGAGGAAGGAAAAGAAAGAGAGAAGGAAAAATAGGAGAGGGGAGGGAGAAGGAAGGAGGGAAGGAAGGAGAGGATAAAAGGAAGGGAGGGAGGGAGGAAGGACAAAAGGAAGGAAAAAGTAAAAAAGAAGGAAAGAAAGAAAGATTTAAGGAAGGAAGGAAGGAAAGAAAGAAAGAAAGAATAAAGAAAAAGAAAGAACGAACGAAAAAAGAAAGGAGAGCGCAAGACAGAGAAACCAAGGGATTAAGAGAATCAAAAAGACCTCACCTAGCTCAGAGTCTACCATTCCCAGTGCTGCTGCTGTGTGAAACTCCCTCCTTATGTAAGTTATTCTTGTTACTGAGAGGAAGTTGTTCCCCACTAACTTAACTTCACAGTGCTGCCTATTCTGACTGACTCCTAAACCCTTCATCTGCAGGGAACTTGATTCTTACATCAACTCCACTGCAGAAGTGTGAGTGCATTTCATGAAGACTTGCTTGCAGAATCATTTACAAGCAATCAATCCTTTTTATTTGGGAAACTCTACCCTTGAAAGAAGCATGTGTGTGTGTGTGTGTGTGTGTGTGTGTGTGTGTGTGTGTGTGTGTGTTGGGTGGAGTAAAGAAACCTTCACATGGTGAGTGTTATGAGAAGTTTGGACACATGAGAACACTGTGTAGAGAAATAAGGTGTATCATCTGTGCAATTGAATCTAGATGGCTGGGAGAACAGGAATTGACTGTGTTGGTATTCAAGTTACTTGGAGTATAATTTTCTGTTTCATTGATTTGGTCCTTTATATGCTGCACATCTGTCATTTAGATGGTTCCCTTTGGCTCTGGCAATGCATAAAAAAGAACTTTATTGAGGAGACTTTGGTTGTGTGTATGTGGGGAAGTACACTATGGCAGCTCATAGTGCTCCTTTTGGAATTGGCAGTTCCTTGAGTGTGTATATTTAATGTATGGTTATGGAGGTTTGTTTGGTGTTTTTTAGAAAATGAGAAGAACTTTAAGACCATGATTGTTTTGTTATCTTAGCCCAATGATATCACCAATTACTCTACTGACCACTTTGCTAACTAACTCAGCTGTATTGTTTCAGGACTCTACTTAGAATAGCAGAAAGGGGATAAAGCAGGAGTTCATACAGGTCATGTGCCTTCTTTTAGTACTTTAAAAACAGAACAATGAAGCACCGAAAAAAGAGTTTCAAGTTGCAGGGACTACTTGATTACATTGAGTCACTTTACCAACAGATTAGAACTCAAGTAACTTGCAATCTATATTCTACTTAAATTGCTCTGGAGGCCAATTAAAAGACTGGCTCAGTCAGAACTTATCTTCCTTTCATCTGGAAATAAACACACCAGACAAGTCCCTAGATCCTTCTATATGTCTCTTAAAATACATCTCAATGCAAAGTGGTAAGAAAGACACCAGGGAGAAGGAGAAATGGTATGGAGAGGCTTTGCTCTAGGAGGGAGGGAAATCACAGCTCCACACTGGGCCTGGGGAGCTGTCCTCTCTTCCTGGTGCTGAAGGAAGGTCAGAGAGCAGAGACGGGGGACAGAGAAGGGAGCCTTCTTGGACCTTCTCCAGGATAGAATCCCAAGGTAATAAGGATGATGTGACCACTGAGAACTTTTCAATCCCTGCCCACCTAGATTTGCCACCTGTCTACTCTCACAACTACTATTCTGCTACTCTCACCCCCCCCCCCCAATTTTGCTCCGGCTGCTCACTTCTGGGGCTTTGTTTGTTTTCCAGCTGGTTTCTAGTTGCTTTTCCTAACAAAGTAAGATGTATTCACAGATGTGCCTTTCCCCCGTATTTGAAAGTAATTGTAACCCCTGATTTGAAAAAGCAAGCAGCCTTGTTTATCTCCTTGAGCAGTAAGTTGTAATTAAACGATTAGTGTCATTATCAGCACTACTGAATGGAGAAGCTACAGACTCCCAGTAAATTACATAATCTGGGCATAGAAGAATTTTGGTTTGCTTTTAACCACAATTTACAAAAAACTAAGCAAGCAATGATTGCTCTCCTTTCTTCCTTATTCCCATGTCCTACCCCTAACCTTTATCATTTATCCTCATGTATTGTTTTAAACAGCTTATGTTAAATATTTGTATTCTTGAACCCACTCATTATGTAAATCCACTTTTGATATTGCAAAGGTTTAGCCATGCTTCAAGGAGATAAAAGTACCTATGTTCATTTTACTTGGTTATTATAAAAATGATTTAGATGCCATCTTCCTTCCACAAATCCACTCATTGCCAAGAATTTTAAATATTCATTAAATACTTCAACATTCCTTCAGTACACCTTGCATCCCTGAAAGTATTTAATAATATTCTTTTGGAAATAATGCACAGCTTGAGTGAAGAATGTATTCCTTCACCTACAATCTCAATATCCCTGAGAGAATAGCACTGAAACATGATTCTTTCATCACTACACCAAGGTACTAATTTCAAGGTTCAGGTTGAACTGAGAAAACAGAGGAGAGAATTTTCTGAGCTATTCAATTTATTTGGTCACAGAGCCCCTTCTTTAGGTTTGAAACTTCTGCTCAGTGTTCAGGCCATGCAACTGCTGGTAAATTGTTGTCTGGTAACGACTATAAATGCTAAGGGAAAGTAAGTCAATGTCTGTGATGAAGGTTACCCAGAGATAGCAAGCCTCATTTAGAGCAGTGGAAAAGGGGGTGTTTTTCCCTGAGCAATACAAATGTATTAAAAGGACATTCTGTAACAGAAGAGTATGTGCACAATGTGAGTAGCAAGTGTTTCTAATTATGTTCTCACTTAGTAATGAACATCACTGACATTTTACTTGAGAGAACTTGCCCTTCCTTAGGCAGTCATTCATTCACTGCACTGAACTAAATTCAGTGAAAACATGCAGCATTTCTTAGGTAGACATTTCCCTACCATTGAATGTATCCTATTTATTTTTGCATTGACATTGTGTCGGAGAGTATCCGATACATAGGAGGTGCTAAAACTGAAAAGTTCTCCACAATTATACCCTAAAGTGAATGAAAGTACTCAATAAAAAGGAGAAGAATTAAAGCACAAAGGTTTCTTAACAAAATATATATAAAAGAAGAAAAGCTAGCCATTCTAATGATTTAGGACTGTTTGACACAAACTTAATGTTGAGCACTGTTGACAAGAATGAGTACTTTTTTCATTACAAGGAGTTCTATTTTTTATTGACATTTCAGAACTGTTTCGTGCTATATGAGTGAGATTTTAAGTGAATAGCACTGTCATCTCCAGCATTCTTACGCTCTTTAGAGAGCCAAGATGTATTTGAGTTCTTGATATCACCTAAGAATAGCCATATCTCCCTTCTACTATTCTCTTCCGCTCTTGCAGGCCCATAGAATAAGCAGAATTAGCATTAGCGTGCTCTGACCACCTCTTAAAATGGATGGGTCAGCTAGTTAAAGTTCAAAAGACAGTCAGGGAAGTAGAGATGTGGCTCAAGTAGTAGAGTACCAGCTTCTTGAGGCAAAAAAAAAAAAAAGCCAAGACCCTGAATTCAATTCCAGTGCCTGTACCAATAAATAAATAAATAAAGGCTCTTAGGACCTTTTTCCTTTAGTCAAATTATGAAAGCCCATGCTCTTGAAAAGTAGCAGCTTAGCACATGTTGTCATCTAACAAAAGTAGTCTCTAATGGGCTAGGAAGGTGGCTCAGTGGTAGAGCGCTTGTCTTGCATGTATGAGGCCCTGGGTTCAATTCCTCAGCACCATATAAGCAGAAAAAGCTGGAAGTGGTGTTGTGGCTCAAGTGGTAGCATGCTAGCCTTGAGCTGAAGAGCTGAGGGACAGAGTTCAGACCTAGAGTTCAGGTCCCATGACCAAAAACAACAACAAAAAAAGAGTCTCTAGACAGATTGGGAATACTATTCTGTTGATTTGCTATTATTTACCATTTAAGGGTCTTAATAATAGTCTTCTCTTACCCTTTCATTAAAGGTTATTGAAGGAGGCCACATTACTTTTTATCATATTGATTTCAGGTTGATAGTTGATCAGGTGACTTTGACTTTTATTTGGTGGCTTTAATTAAAGCCTTTTTAGTGTTACTTCTCACATTCAATGGACAGCATTTATC